ATTATTCTCCTATGAGATACCCCTTTAAATAGCTGAGGGTGGCTATTGTGCCCCTCCCCCAAGTCTTCTCTTTTCTAGGGTTGAGGCCCCTCCCCATCCTTTCAGCTGTCCCCTGACACCATGGTTTCCAGGCCACCTGCCATCTTGCTGGCTCTCTTCTCAAGAAATTCCAGCTTGCCAATATCCTTTCTAGCATGTGGCTTCCCAACTGGCAAGAGTCCTCAAGATGTGATCTGACCAGGGCAGAGGCCAGGGGAATTCTCGCCTCTTCTCAATGCCTGTTTGGTCTATTCAGTGTTGGGAACCTCCCAGTCTAATAAGTCCCTCTACCAATTCAGAGCCACAAATCATCTGTAACTGAGTCTAGAGTGTTACTCAAGGCACTGAGAGGTCCAGACACTTACCTGGGGTCACACAGCTAGGATGTATCACATTAATCTAAGTCTTCCTGCCTCCAAGGCTAGCCCTCTTCTCTCCCCGCCATTACACTGCCTCTTGTCAGCTCATGTGAGCCTTTTGTGACAGACAGGAAGTCTGGCCCTGAAGAAAACTGAGTAACTTATCTGAGACCACACAGCTAGTTAATGGAATAATTGGGGTTCAAACTGAGGTCTCCTGGGGCCTCCCCACTACCCAGTGCTTCTTGTTTCATGAATAAGTAGGATCTCATGAATCCCAATTGCAGGGCAAAGGTTTTTGATTTGATTTTCAATTCTCAGATGTCAGTTGGTAAGCATTTATTAAGCACCTACTATGTGCCAGGAACTGTGCTAAGCTCTGGGCTTAGAAAGAAAGGCAAAAGACGGCCCCTGCCCTTGAGGAACTCACAATCTGATGAGAGAGCCAACATCCAAACAAATATGTACAAACAAGCTATGTGCTGGATGACTAGGCCATCCTTAACAGAGAGAAAGCAGCAGAATGAAGAGGGTTTGGGCGAGACTTCCTAAAGAAGGTGGGATCTGCACACAAGCTGCTTTTGTAACTTCTTAGTGGATTCTGAAAGGTCTTATCTACCTTTTAAAATCATTTCATTTACTGGGTTTAATCTGACTCATCTTTTGGGCTACACTTAGTGACGGAATGATGCAAGCTGTGTGTTTCTGGGTAATTTAAATAACATCTCAATCTGTTGAGAAGGGGGTGGGTAGGATGGACAGAGGCAGAAACATGAATAAATTGCTATTACATTCATATTTTACGTAACGCTTATAACGTATTTTGTTTCTAAATTGTCCGCTTGCTTCCTTGAGGGAATAAGGGGCATAATATATCTCTTGCCAAGTTGCCTTTAATACACTTTCAATCTTTTGATTATTTAAATAGGACAGACTTTCAAAAGAAGCAGATCGTGATACAGCTGGGGCTCTGAACTCCTTCTGTCAGTTAAGAGAGAGGCAAGGCAGATTGCAGCTATCAGAACTGAAAAGTCTATTGGAATGGGAATATTCACTTCACTGTCATTCAGGCAGTCAGTCAATGAGCATTTGTTGAGCCCCTCCTATGTACCAGGCAACATGCTCAGTGCTACGGATAAAAAGAAAGGCAAAAAATGGTTGCTATTCTCAAGAAGTTCAGTCAAATGGAGGAGGCTATATCCAAACAATTATGTACAAACACGATATATCCAGGATAAATCGGGGGTGATCTCAGAAGGAAGGCACTAAAGTTAAGGAAGACTGGCAGAGGCTTCTTGCAGAGGGTGGAATTTTATTTTATTTTATTTTATTTTATTTTATCTTACTTTTATTTTATTTTTGGTGAGGTGATCAGGGTTAAGTGACTTGCTCAGGGCCACTTAACTAGTAAGTGTCAGGTGTCTAAGGCTAGATTTGAACTCAGATCCCTGACTCCAGGGCCAGTACTCTATCTACTGCACCACCTACCTGCCCCAGAGGGTGAGATTTTAGCTAAGACCTGAAGGAAGCCTGGGAAGCCAAGAGGTAGAGATGAGGAGAGAGCATTCCAGGCATGGGGAACAGTCAGGGAAAATTCCTGGAGTTCAGAGATGGAATAGCTCATTCAAGGATTAGCAGAAAGCTCAGTGTCACTGGATGGATAAGTATGGAGGAAGAAGGAAGGTGTGAGAGGAATGGAAAGGTAAGAAGGGGTCAGGTTATGAAGGGCTTTAAAAGCCAAAATAGAGGATTTTGTATTTGATCTGAAGATAATATGGAGCCCCTGGGTGTTTTTGGAGAAGGGGATAACATGGTCAGTCTTGTGCTTGAAGAAGGTCAATTTGACAACTCGATGGAGTAAGATTGACGTGGGGCAGGGAAAGCACCCAGCAGGTGATTGCCATAGACAAGAAAGAGGTGACTTCTGTTGAATGAGGGGAATCGACAGGGAAATAGACGGTGTCTCCATAAATTAGCCTTTTGTAGTTGTTTGTGGGGAAGGTATATGTTGCTTTTGACTAAAGAAATCAATCAAATGACGAAATCATTTAAGAAGGAACGATTTATGATTGGAAATGTGGCATGGTGGATAGAGCTTAGAGTCAGGAAGAGAAGGGTTTGAATTGTCCACTTCTCATAGCTCAGGGAGTCTTCGCAAGTCACACACTTTTTCTGTGCATCAGGCAAGTTCCAAGGACTGACCCTCTAAAGTGTAGATTCTTTTGATTTCAGTAGGAAATTCCATTATTTGGGAATATTGCCTTCTAGAACTGGCCCAAAGGGTTCAGCAACATTTATGAATGATATTAATATTGTAAGTTTTCTGAGGTCAGGAACTGCATCTTATTTCAGCTATGCTTTCCCCTTTCTGAACACACTGCAGTCTTTACTTAATAAATGTTTATGAGATGGAAAGTTAACTTTGAAATGCAAGTCTAGAAAATTATAGCACAGCATTTTATTGATTGAATTATTGCTCTGTAAGTGGAGCTATCATGGTATAAATGAATGAATGAAGAATTTATTAAGGTCTTACTATGTGCCAGGCACTCTGCTAAATACAAGGGATATAAGTACAAGTAAGCAAGACAGACTTTGCCCTTGAGCTCATATCCTAATAGGAAAAGGCAATGCAAGGGGAGGTGGGGGAGAGTTATGTTGTATTTCAAATCATGGCATGAGCTCAGGATTAGAGCCCAAATTCCAATAAGAGGGTGAAGTGAATAATGACCTGTGTGCAGGCAACATAATTTCAAAATGGTGGCCAAGTGGAACAGCGGCCTGCTTCCAAACAAGACCAGGCCAAAGTTGACCTGTGTAGTCAACTGTGCTTGCCCTGGAGTCAGGGAGACTTGGGTTTTGAACCCTTGTTGCACCATTTACAAGCTAACCATAGCCCCAAGGGCTTCTTCATCACCTCTGATCCCTAAAATCCCTACCTCTTTCAAGGTTTAGCTCAAGGGCCGCCATCTTTTGGAGACCTTTCCTGATCCTCCCAAATGTTAGTACTGCTCCCTCTTCTGAAATGACTTTTAGTGTTTTTAGTTTACTCATATGTGTATATGTTGTTTCTCCTACTAAAATGTAAGCTCCTTGAGGGCAGGGATAGTTGTATTTTTGTCTGCTAACCTCCACTCATTAGCTTAGAGCCTAGCATAGTAGAGTCTTAAATGCTTGTTGAATTGAATTGTAATGACCTACGTTGGTTAGGTTATATTAATGAAATCACAAATTTGGAAATAACAGAAAAGAATTATTCTGTGAGGTAGGTCACGAAAATACGATTATCCCCATTTTCCAGATGAGGAATCTGAGGCTGAAAATGGTGAGGTGACTTCTTGGCATGCAGCACTCTGTCGCCCATTGCTGGAATGTGCTCCTTCCTCACATCTGCCTCTTAAAATGTCTAGTTTCCATGAAAGCTCAGCTCAAAGGCCACCTCCTACATGCATTCCTTCCAGACTCCTCCAGCTGCTTGTGTCTCTTCTCAAAAAAGTACCTTGCATTTATGTTATATATTCTTTGTGTGTGTGTATGTGTGTGTATGTATATACATATTGTTGTTCCCCCCACCTTCCCCAGAATGTAAGTTCCTTGAGGGCAGAGACTGTTTCATTTTTGTGTTTGCATCTTAAGCACCTCTTACAGTGCACACAGCAGGTGCTAAATAAATGCTTATTGATTGACTGATTGAAGATATTCTAAAAATCAAGGTTTTTTAAATTACCAGTCATGTCATTATGGATCTTGAGCCTTTAAGCATCTTAATGGTCTTCTAATCTAACCCTTTCCCTTCACAAAAAAAAATATATATATTGAAGAAGCCCAGCCATTCAATCAACCAGCAAGCATTTATTAAGCCCTGTGCAAAGCAATGGGGCTACAAAGAAAAGCAAAAACCTGGTCCCTTTCCTCAAGGACCTCATATTCAAAATGATTCTGGGACATCAGCTCCCAGATCCAGAGCTGAAAGAGACTTCAGAGAATATTTAAGTCCAACCCCTTCACTTTAAAGATTAGGAAACTCCATCTCAGAGAGGTGGTGACTTGTCAGTCAGCTAGCATTTATGAAGCACCTACTGTGTACAGGGCACCGTTCCAAGCCAAGGTCAAAAAAGCAGTAAGTAGCAAAGACAGAATTTAGGATTCAGAATCACAGATCTAAACCTGGAAAAGACTTCAGAGGGCAACCTCCTCATTTTACAGATGAGGAAACTGAGTCCCAGGAAGGGTGAATGAGTTTTCCACAATCACACAGGTAGTGGATGACAAAGTCATCCAGCTACTAGGTGTTGGAGGTGGGAATAGAAACTGAGACTCCTGACCTCAAGTCCAGTCCACCTGTCTGTCCCTCTTCTCCCTCACCTTCTCGGTAAAGGCTCTAACTCTGCACGGCACAGAAGACCATTCTTGAAGGCTATTCCAATTACATGGCTGCCCGGACCTCTCTCAGGCTGTCCATCAGTTATCTCCCTGCTCTTTCTGTCTCTCCTTGACTCCCTCCCAGCTGTTTATCTGATCATATATCTGCTGGTGGCATCTCTCATACCACGTCTCACCCACCAGCCACCATGGAGTAAAGTCATTTGTGTTTTTCCTTAGTGCCCGTGAGTGACGAAGAGGAAGGTGCGGGTCTCTTTGATAGCACAGGCAAGCCTGTGGCCGATCCATTCGACACGTCGTCTGGCTCAGTACAACTGATTGCTATCAAGCCAGCGGTGCTGGCCCCTGCCCACCCGGCATCTGAACGGAGCCAGGAGTCAGCCATCATTAATGGAGAGGTAAGGGCTTTGGGGAGACGCTGACGAAAATCAGTCATCAGACTTGAGAGAACCAAGGAGGGAAAGGTTTTTTTCTGAATAACTAGGCAGGAACCTTTTTTTTCCGGTGGGAAAGGTCTGGACCTGTGATGATTTGTAGTTGATTCAGAAATGCAGCCAGAACGAGAGGCAAACAGGTCTTTCCTCCTTAGATTTCTCTGCTTCCTTCTGGTTCAATTTTACCTTTGGTGACCAGGTTCTCTGAGACCTGTGCAGTCCCAGGAAGTGGGGTGGTCTGGGGCTATCTATGTGTGTGTATGTGTGTATATGCATATATACACACATGCACATATACATACATATACATGTGTACATATGCACGTGCACACACCTGTATACATTTGTGCGTGCATATATACACATACATACATAGCTGACCACAGATCATGTCATTCTCCTACCTAGTAAACTCCAATGTCTCCCTATTAGCTTCAGGATCAAATATCAAATTCTCTGTTGGGCATGCAAAACTCTTCACATATGTACGTGTGTTTGTGTATATACGCAGTTATCTCTTCCACATTACAGGGGTTAGGGGTGCAGTACCCCCATGATCTGGAAAATCCATGTAAAATTTTTTGGCCCTCCTTTTGTAACAGAGAAGTCTGAATTAGTATGGTATTAAAAGACAAAATATGTCGATATTATACAATACTATACATATATTTTATGCATTTCTGAGTTTCTAATCTTTTTCTATGTCATCTGCTGGCATTCATATATCATCTACAGCTTCGGCAAAAGTCCCCCAAAATTCCCATTTAATTTCTTATGCTGAGCCATGACATATCAAAGCCACGATGGGGGAAGCTGTGCTGTGGAAGGGATAACTGTACATATATATACATATACATGTATGCACACATATATAACATATGTGTGTATACTTGTGCAGACCACTTCACTCCATAATAAATACACACACCTATGTATTGCCAGGGGCCTGTGATTTCATTGGTGTTAAGATGTTTCCAGTCAAATCCAAAAGCATTAATTAAGCATGTACTGTGGGCCTGGAGTTGTACTAAGCCCTAGGAATTTTTTAAAAAGGCAAAAATAATCCCTGCTGTTGAGAAGCTCACATTTTAGTAAGGGAGACAACATGAAAATTGCTAGGGACAAAAAGTATAAATACAGAGTAGGCAGAAGGTGAGCTCAGAGGGAAGGCACTGGTAGCTGAGAGGGACCATGAAAGATTTCTAAATAAATTGAGATCTGAGCTGAATCGTGAGGGAAGCCAGGGAAGTTGAGTTAGAGGTGAGGTAGGAAAGCATTCCAGCATTCCAGGCATGGGGCACAGCCAAGGCAGAGATGCAGAGATGAGAAATTAGGAATTCTGTGCAAGGAACAATACATATGTGGGCTAGTCTAATTTTATTATAGAATGTGTAGCAGGAAGTAAAATGTAAGAAAATGGGGGGAGGGAAGAAGGGTTTAGGTTGAAAAGAGTTTTAAATGACAAACAGAAGTTATGTTAGATCCTGGAGGTAATGGGGAGACATTGAAGTTTATTGAGCAGGAGAGTGACCAAAAAATTACTTTGATGGTTGAGGGGAGAATGAATTCGAGTGCAGAAGGACGTGAAGCGGTCAGACCATTTAGAAGGTTATTGCAATAGACCTGGCAAGAGGGGATGTGGCTTGAAAGAGGGTGGTGACTGTGTATGTAGAGAGAAAGAAAAACGTACTCTAGATATCCTGAAGAGAGAAATAAGATTTGATGACAGATTAGAGTAACTGAGAATGAGGGACTGAGGATTACACTGAGGTAACAAGCACATGGCAGTGCCTTCAACAGTAATAGGAAAGCTGGGAAGAGGGGAAGGTTGAAAAGGAAATACAATGAATTCTCTTTTGAACATGTTGACTTTGAAATGCCTATTTAGGACATCTAGTCCAAGATGTCCAAAAGGTGTTTGGTGATAAGGGACTGGAGCTCAGGAGAAATACTAGAGCTGGATATATGACCTGGGAATCAGCTGCTTAGGGATGATAGTTGAACAGCCTGGCACTGATGAGATCACCAAGTGATGTTGTATAGAGGGAGAAGAAAGGAGGGTCCAGGCCAGAGCTTGGAGGGCATCCAGATTTTCATAAGAAACTTCCTCCAGCAATGCAGAAAGTGGCTGCTCAATAATTTAGAGTCTTAGAGAGTAGCCAGGGGCATAAGAGGTTTATTGGAAAAGGCCCTTGAGCCTAGGTCTTCCTAATTCTGAAAACCAGGGCTCTATCCACTATTATCTACCCCCCCATTATGTAAACTAATATCCCATTGGTGAGTATAGAGTGTACCCCTGGGCTGATCTAAGCTGCCAAGTCACACCAAAAATTGTGTTAGGTGATTCTTAAAGTGCATTTTCTACTGTAGATTTGAATCTTCATCAGAAAACACAATGTTTATTAATAAGGTGTAGTGATAATGACCAAGCTTTGAGTTGGAGAAAACCTAGGTATATAGCATATGTTGTAGGACACGATCCATTTGTCAAATTGACTTTTTTTCTCTTTCTCTTTAATCTTTGTTACAAGGAGGGGTTCACTGAATAGAGGTATGGGAAGGATACATATGGAAATAAAAATGATATAAAGACAAAAGATGCTTGTTTAAAAAATTATTTTAAAAATATATGATGACATCACTGTCAAAATAGACCAACATAAGAGTAGTTCTGCTGCAGAACTGTCCAGTGATACTTACTAGTGATGGATGTGGCACTGGATTGGGAGTTAGGAAGACCTAGGTTTAAGTCCCATCTCAAATACTTAGTAGTTGTGACCATGAGGAAATCAATCACTTGATCACCCTGAGACTTGCCCCCCCATCTGTATAATGGAGGTGGTAATGGCACCTGCTTCACAAGGTTATCATGAGGGCCAAATGAGGCAACTAGGTGGCTCAGTGAATAGAGCACTAGACCTGAAGTTAGGAAGACCTGAGTTCAAATCCAGTCTCAGTCACGTACTGACTATGTGATCCTGGGCAAGTCACTTCACCTCTGTCTGCCTCAGTTTCCTCATCTGTAAAACAGAGATAATAATAGCATGCACCTCCCAAGGTTATGAAAACAAACTAAGATAATATTTGTAATGTGCTTTGTTAACCTTCAGGTACCATATTATGATTAAATGGGATAATGTATGTTAAAGTACTTCCTTATGTCCATGTGCTATATAAATGTTTCTGTTGTCACTTGCTGTAATCTATATAACAGTTTACAGGATACATTGTATATTTAACACTCTTAGACATTACTCCATTTGATCCTCACAATGGCAACCCCAAGAGGCAAGTAGGTCAGATACACTTGTTCCCATTTTATGGGTGAGGAAACTGAGGGTCACAACAATGAAATGATTTGCCCAGGCTCATTTGGCTAGTTAGTGGCTCAGTTGAGAGTGGAACCCCATCTCCTAGTCCCCAGAACTTGGAATCAGAACAACTTGGGTTCAAATCCCATCTTATATGCTAATTAACTATGTTACTGTGGTCAAGTCTCTTATTTGTTAAATGAGGGGGTGGATTCGAAGGCCTCTAAACCTTTGATCCTCTCATCAATGGCCTGCATTCTGGCTCACCATAGTGGGCCTCTCTGAGTGGAGGTCAGTCCCCTGATAACCCAATTATGTGTTCATCTATTAGCTATCATGCACAACTTATCTGCCCATTTTATTGCTGTGTTTGTCATGATAACAAATTCAAAATCCTTGCTCTGAATGTAATTGCTTAACTCAATATGTCTCCCATTTTTTGTTTGCTTTCTATCTACGGCCCATCTCCCTATAACCAAAGAACAGGAGATAAACATTTTTCTTAGAAATGGAGACTCACTACCTGATTATAGTTTATTACAGTGGAAAGGAACGGACATTACTTGTCATCCAGACTCCTCAGGGAAGGACTGCTTTTTTTGTCTTTGTATTACCAGTGCTTGCAATTCCTGGGGCATAGAATAAGGATTAGGAATAATGCCCGAGCCTATGATTTCATAGGGAACTTGGGCAGGAGGAAATTCCCTACAATGATGCAAGTTAACACGTGTCTGTATCTTAATGTCTTAGAGCAGAGGTGTCAAACCCTTAGGAAGTTTCAATGCTGTTAGTGGAACTGAAGCAGATTAAAACGTAATTGAGAAATGTTTAATGAAATAAATTAAAATATGACAAAACATAGGCGGTGTTGATTTGTGGTTTCCTAAGTCCCTGTAGGCAGCCTACAGAGATCTGCTTCTATTGGAATTTGAAGACCCAGTGTTAGACAATTGCCTGGGAATACCGAGAGGTTAAAGGACCTGCCCAGAGTCTCACTACCAAGGTTTGTCAGAGGCAGGACTTGAATAAGGTCTTCTTGGCTTCAAGGTCAGAAATCTGTCCACTATTAGTAGGTGCCTAATAAATGTTTATTGACTGGTGCTTGGATCTGGAACTGGAGGGAACATTTAAAGTAATTATATCATGTCATATCATATCATAATTATATTATGTATCGCATCATATCACATTGTGTTATATTGTATTGTATTATATAATATATGATATAATATGGTATTATATTATATATGTCATTACCCAGATGAGAAAACTCAAACCCAGAGCAGTTCAGGAACTTGCCCAAGGTCACACAGGTAGTAAGTGACAGAGCAGGATTTGAACCCAGGTCCTCTGACTACAAGTCCAGCACTTTTCTACTATAACATGAGAAGACTAAAGTAAGTTCTAATTGGTGTCACCATAGTTTATATTTACATCATGCTTGATAACAGTCTCTGAGTATTTAGTCTATGTATTATCTCCATTTTACAGACAAGGAAACTGAGGCTCAGAGAAGGAATTTTTCCACGGCCACACATGTAGAAAATAGAAGAGCTGAGACTTCAGCCCAGTTTTTCCCACTGTTTCGGTGCCTCTTCTCAGTTTGCAGCTGCAAGAGGGTGAAAATGTCCCATGTGTCATTAGAATCTCTATAGAGAGGACAAAAATGCAAGATGAAAAGCAGTGTGCTGTAGGGGGTGGGGATCTGGCCTCAGAGTCAGGAGGACCTGGGTACAAGGTCAGCCTGTGATACAGACTGGCTGTGTGACCGTGAGCAAGCGCCTTAACCTTTCCCTGCTCCCGGTCGGGTCTCTAGTTTTACAAATTGCAAAGCAGGTGCTGATTTTGCTGGGGTAGAAGGAAGTTCCATATGCCAATGAACTCACAGGTTTGGACCAAAAAATAAAGATTCAGGGCAGTGTCTAGGGAAAAGCCCCGGCAGGCTGATTCAGAGCCTCACACACCTGCTCGGTCACACTCCTGAGAATTCGCTCCCTCCGCAGGTGAACAAGGCCTTGAAGCAGAAGTCTGACATTGAACACTACCGTAACAAACTGCGCCTTAAGGCAAAGCGGAAAGGCTATTATGACTTCCCCCAGGTAGAGGGTAACAAGGCTCTGACGGAAAGAAAGATGTACGAGAAAGCACCGAAAGACATTGACCATGTCTTGGATACCGAGCCGGAGGTACCCTCTCCGTTTGGCGAACCCAAAAGCAGGTAAGTCGGTCTGTCGCCTTGAAGCCCGGGAAACGCAATCGATGTTAAAGGGACAGCAGGTGCCTGAGTCGATGCATTTCTGACTCGGCGGTTGTTGGCAGTGTGTGCCTGTCATCCTTTCTCCTACGTCAAGGTTATTGATTGGGACTCAGATGGGCTCTGAAATTCAGGGCTTAATAGTGTGTTTGCAGGGGAATAAATGGAAGAGACAGGACATGAGAGAGAAGGCTATAATTGAACTTTTTACGTGATTTGTTTCAGCTATGTGAAGGATAGTCACAAGGAGATGGTTTGGTCAATCAGGAGATGTTTCCAGGGCTGGAAGAAGATGTAATAACCTCCTAGGTTTCATCTGTGGTCCAGTGGAAAGAGCATCCAATTTTCAGTGGCTCCCAATTGCATTTAGGATAAGATCCAATCTGCTTTGTCTGGCATCCAGAGTCCTTCTAAATCTGGCTCCAGCCCTGTCTTTGCAGGCTGGTTATGCATGTCTACCCCTCACTCACTCATTCAGTGGCCAGGGAAATGGCAATGATGTCCCATCTCCTTCCTCTGTGACTTTGCAGAAGATTTCTCCCTCCCTCCTCTCCTCCACCTCCTGGAAACTCTGCCTGTAAAATTCAGGGCAAATGCCTACAGGTGGCTTTTCCTGATTCCTTCCAATTCTTAATGCTTTTCTCCTGGAACTGATGTGTGTGTGTGTGTGTGTGTGTGTGTGTGTGTGTGTGTATCTATATCTATATATGTGTATATATGTATATCGATATATAAATAAATAGACATATCTTGTACTTTTGTGCATGTGTTATTCACCCCCACTAGAAACTCTGTGAGGTCAGGGACCATTTTTAATTTTGGGAACCCAGTGCCTGACATATAGTAGGAATTTAATAAATACTTGTTGGATTAGATTGGAATCAGAGGACCTGGGTTTCCATCCTGGCTCTGCCACTTACTAGCTAGATGATCTTGGGCAAGTTATTTACTATCCCTGGGGTTTAGTTCTCTCATCTGGAAATAATAATTTACTACCCCTGGGCCTCAGTTTCCTTATCTGTAAAATGAAAGGGTTGAAATAGAATGTATCTGAGGTCCCTTCCTGCTTTCAATATGTTTTTCTTTGCTGTTTAATTGTTTTAATAACTCCTCCGCAAAAAGAGGAAAATTTCATCCATTAAGTCTTGTAAGCCTCCTGCCTGGGGTTCAGTGCTGGGTCAAATGTCTATTTTTCTAGGATGGGTTTTTTCTCTGATGTGCAAACATATCATAAATTGGAGAAGAAAGATACAGAGAGCTGAGTGTTGACATTATCTCCTGGGTTTCAGGCAGATAAATAGTTTGCCTTTCCATCTTCTTGAGCTGCACTTTAGGGCTATTCATTTTGCAGAGACACAAAATTCCCTCTGAAAGGGTGTACATCACAAGGGCAAAATAAAACAAAACAAAACTGCTTTTCTCTGAAACCCTTTGCAGAGAATGTAAACTCTCAGTTGAATGTAAGGTCCTTGAGGGCAAGGGCTGAGTGTTGTACTGAGCAGATGCTTTATAACTGTTTATTGAGTCAAGTCAGACTGAACTGAATTGAAACCATCAGTTATCAATCAACATTTATTCGGTGCCTATATATTAGCCCTTGAGTGGAGTTTTACTAGAGATGACAAGTATGTTCAGAGGGACGGGGTGGGGGGTGGTGGATGAAGATTGAGAACAGAACAGGTAGGAATAAGGTTGGGTCACAAAGATTTCCAGGACTGGCCAGAAAATATGACATCTTGAGTATCTGTCATCAGCCAGTCAGCCAACCAACAAGCATTTAATAAGCACTTACTGTATTCCAGGCATCCTTCTAAACACTTAGGATACAAAAAGGGCAAAAATGCTGTCCCTGCCCTCAAGAATTCTAATGGGGGAGACATCATGTAAATAACTAGGTACATGTGAGATAAATACAGATAGAAGATGAATTGAAAGAGGAAATGCAAACAGTTGTAGGGGAAGTGGGGGTGGGACTCCGAGAAAGGCCAGATTTGAGCAGAATCTTAAAGAAAGCCAGGGTAACTAAGAAACAAAGTTAAAAAGGGAAAGCGTTCCAGGCATGAGGCACAGCCATTACAAAGGAATGGAATCCAGAGGTGGAGAGTCACATGTAAGGAACGGCAAGCAAACCTAGGATAGCTATATCATGGATGCAATATGTCGAAGGGAGTAAAGGGCAAGCAGACTGGACAGGTAGGAAGGAGAGAGGTTTTTGAAGTTCTTTAAATGTCAGTCAGAGTACTTTATAATAGATCTGGAGGTCATAGGGAGCCATTGAAATTTGTTGAGTAATGTAGGCAGAACTATGCTTTAGGAAAAATAATTTTGGTTGCCCAGTGGAAGATGGAGCAGAATGGGGAAATAAAAGGCAGAAAGAATAATTAGAAAGCTATTGTAATAGTTCAGGTGAAAGGTGATGAGGGTTTGTTAGGGCCATGGCTATGTAAATGCAGGAGAGATTTTCACAATGGATTATTTATATGTGGTGACTGGGGTCAACCCAGAGTGAAGGGTCAAGGATGATGCTAAGGTTTCGAACTTGGGTGACTGGGAAAATGATGATGCCCTCACAGTTGTTGTTCATCCTTCATTCTTGAAGAGGACCAATAACATCATGAGGGATGTCCTGACTTGTGCCTGAATTGGATTTGAGTAAGGCAGAGCTGTGCAATGTCATCAACCCCACTCTCTCCTCCGGAGTCATTGAAGTCTAGTCTCAAGACCAAGCTCAAGATGACTGGAGATGGCCCAGGATGCAGCAGGTGACCTTAACCTTTCTAAATTAAGGTCTTCCCCAGGTCTCATAGCAGTAGGAAAGTTAAGGATAAGAGGAAGGTTTGGGGGAAAAGATAATGAGTTCTGTTTTAGACATGTTGAGTTTGAGATGCCTGCCGCACATCCAGTTCAAGATGTCTATAAGGCATGATATGTTACTAGATCTCAGGAGACAGACGAGGATTGGATATACGTATCTAGGAATCGTCTGCATAGGGTGATAATTGAACTGATAGGAGCTAAAGAAGTCACCAAGTGGGATAGTACAGAGCTTAAGGAGGGGCACAGGCCACCCCCCATGTTTAGTGGGCACTACCTGGATGAAACTCCAGACTGAGGAGTGGGCAGCCAGGTAGGAGGAGAACCGAGAGAGAGTAGCATCAGGAAAGCCTGGGAAGGACAGAATATACAGGAAATGATTCATTTTCTCTTTCTCTATTCAGGGAGCTCTTTGGTATTAGGGATAGTAACATTCATGTCTGTGTTCCCCACAGTGTTGATTTTGAGGTCCTATATACTAAGTACTTAATAAATAAAAGGAGACCCCTGGAGGAAATTGAGTGTGGCAGGAAATCAACCCATTCACCCGAGCTGGTCATTTGGGCTTGTTTGTTTAGGATTGATCAACATGATATAGTAGGAAAAGATCTAGGTTTTGGCATCAATGAACCTGGTTTCGAATCTAAGCCCTGTCACCTAAATTATGTGACCTTGTGCAAGTCCACTTAGGTTGTAAACTCCTGGAGGGCAGAGACCGTCTTTAGCTTCTTTTTGTGTCCCCATTGCTTAGCACAATACCCGACACATAGTTGTTGTTGCTGATTCGTTTCAGTCATGGCTGACTCTTCTTGATCCCACTTGGCATTTTCTTGGCAAAGATACTGGAGTGCTTTGCCATTTCCTTCTCCAGCTCATTTTACAGATGAGGAAACTGAGGCAAACTGGGTGAGGTGACTTCCCCAGAGTCACACAGTTAGTGAATGTCTGAGGTCAGATTTGAACCCAAGAAGATGAATCTTCCTGACTGTAGGTCTGGGACTCTATCCACTGCCCCACCTAGCTACCCCATGGAACATAATAGGAGCTTAATAAATGTTTATTGAATTGAATTAATGTCTTTTGGCCTCCATTTTCTCACCTTTTAAAATGAGGGGATTAAGCTAGATGCCCACTCAAGCCTCTCCCAGCTCTAAATCTATGATCCTATGGAATAGAACTTTAAATCAAACATTCTTCTGTATCATTTTAATGACTAAGCTTAGCCTTGAAGAAGAATTGAGAAAATGTGGAACCCTGGGAAGAGGCCTGGCTTTGGAAGAGGGGACCTGGGTTCATAACCTTCCTCCATCCTTTACTACTTAGCATGACCTCAGGCAAGTCACCCTATCTCTCTGGCCCTCAGCTTCCTCATCTGTGAAGTAAGAGTATTGGCCTAGATGGCTTTGGGTCCCTTCTAACTCTAAATCTATGAACCCTTCTTTGCAGAGCTGGGGAACCTTGGGTGTAGACCATTGCGCATGCCATCAAGTATGATTGGTGGGTTGGTTGGTTTGGCTGAAATGCTTCCCCTAACCCCCTGCCCCTTTTTCTTTTTTCTTACAAAGAATGGCTTGCTAGGTAGGATAGAGGGAGGCATATTGGGAAGCAAAGATGATGCAGAGTTAAAATGTATCAATAAAAAGGAAATAAGTAAGTGGTATAATAAACAAAATAAGCAGATCTATCAGCACAACCAACAGGCTTGGCCTAGATGCTTCCCCTAGGAGGGATAGTGTATTTGCCCGCTCAAGTGAGCTTTTGCTCGCTATGAAAATAACCAGAGTTATAAAACCAAATTGGAAAACATCGCCTCACTTCACAAATCGAATCAATGTGGTTTTATTTTCAATAAAGAAAAGAAATAACTCTTAAACCAGTGCCCAATTTACCATGACACTAATTAGGTTTGGTTGGCATAACAAGTTATTGCTACCAAATGACATTGAGAAAGTTGTTACGATGTATGGGCCATAGCGTTAGTGACTTGAAAAAAAAATAAATGAAAAGATGCAGATTTCATAGCGTGATCTGTTTGATTCAATTCAAAAAGTGTCTATTAAGTGCCTTGGGCAGCTAGGTGGTACAGTGAATAGAGCGCAGGGCCTGAAATCAGGAAGTTCAAATCTGGCCTCAGACACTTACTAGCTGTGTAACCCTGTGCAAGTCATTTCACCCTGTTTGCCTCAGTTTCCTCATCTCTAAAATGAGCTAGAGAAGGAAATAGCTAACCACTCCGGTATCTGTGCTAAGAAAACCCCAAATAGGGCCATGAGGACTGAAAAACACCAAAATATGCCAGGTACTACTCTAGGTATTAGAAATAAAAAGGCAAAAAGCAAACAGTCTCTTCCCTCAAAAAAGCTTAGTCTACTGAGGGAAAATGGCATGTACATAGTAATACAAACTAAAAACAAATCAATTTCAAGGAGGAGCAGTAACCAGGATTAGGGAGGACCCTCCATTGGAGACAGCCCTTGACCTGAGCCTTCATGCTAGGGATTGCAGAGATGGAGCTGAGGTGGAGTATCTAGACATGGTGTCTATAATTAGAACTGGAGTGGATTGAAGTCATTAATTTATGCTCAGGTAGAAATGTATCTACCTAGTAGGTCTGATCCATTGGGATCCATGTGAAAAATCAATTTGAAAGACAGCCATAAAGTATTAACTCTAAAAATGGGGCAGAGAGAAGTAGGGAGAAAGGAAGGAAAGAAAGGAGGAAAGGAGAGAAGGAAGGAAGGAAGGGGAAAAGGAAAGAAGGAAGGAAGGAAAGAAGGAAGGAAGGAAGGAAAAGTAGAGGGAGGAAGGAAAGAAGGGAAGAAGGAAAGAAGGAAGGAAGGAAAAACAGGGAGGAAGAAAAGGAGGAATGAAAGGTAGAGAAGGAGAGAGGAAGAAAGGAAGGGAGAAAGGAGAGAAGGATGGATCATAGATTTAGCGCCAGAAGGCACCTGAGACCCAGGGAGATTGTTACTTGTCCAGCATCACAAGGGATACCAGGAAAGCTGGGTCTCATCTCAGACTTTCGGGGGGTTATTTGAAAATCCAGGAGTCTATTCCTCCTAGTCACAAAATAACCTACTTAACTGTCAATTGCTAATCCCAGTGCCTCCCTTCTTGTTAGTGAATCTTCTCTAAATGGGCTAATTGGCAATCTCCGGACAATTGGAAAGTCTGCTTTTCCAAAAACGATTCGTAATTAGGTCAAGGATGTGAATACTTTGGGGCTTTTGATAGTGTGTGAGTTGCTCAGAAAATACCCTATTTCCCAAATGAGATGAAATTGTATCTACCCTACCTGCAAAAAAATGTAGGTGCAGTTTACACCTGAACACAGGTGTGTGAGTGTGTGGGTGTGGGTGTGTAGTCACCTACACAGAGTGATTAATGGTAGTGTGGGGCTGCCTCAAGAGGTGTGGGTTCCTGCTCCTTGGAGGTCTTCAAGCCACACCCGGATGACCACTTGTTAGGTATGTTATAATGGGGATTCCTTTTGTGTATGGGTTGGACCATATGGTCACCGAAATCCCTCCCATCTCTCAGATTCTGTGCTTCTATAATTTCAAGGAAAAAAGAACATCAACAGCTGGAGTGAGGGGCAATGAGGAAGACCTCATGTAGGAGGTGATATCTGAGCAGTGATATGTGGGAAGCCAGGTAGAGATTCTACAAGGTGGAGGTAAGGAGGGAATGCATTCCAGGTATGGTGGATAAGCTATGCAAGGGTGTGTGATGGGGAAATGGAGTTTTGCATATGAGGAACAGTGTCAGTTTAGTTAGACTGTAGAGGATGAGAGTTGTCATGCATGATCAGTCTCAATGAAAAATAGGTTGGAATCAGATGACAAAGGGCTAGAAATGCCAGACAGAGTAGTTTTGCTCTTATGCCTAGTGGCAGTTGGGAGCCAGTGAAGTTTCTTCAGCAGGGACATGGCATGGTCCAACCTGGACTTTAGGAATATCACTGTGGCAGCTTTGTGAAGGCTGGGTTAGAGAGGGGAGAGGCTGGGAGATTCACACCACTACACCCTTAATTTCCCATCCAGCATATATAAAGTCCAAGAATTTAAAGTTAGGAGGGAGAATGTGTAAAGCTTCTGAGAGTTCCATGAATTTAGGGACTATGGATAGCAAGTTTGCTCAGGAAATATTAAAGAGGCAGTGTTCTTGTCCTGCCTCCCTGTCCCTAACTCTGTGATCTTGGAAATGTTGCCTGATCTCACTGAGCCTCTTTCCCCCATCTCAAAATCGAGAGATTAACATTTGCCACTCAACATGTTGAAAGCCAGCATGGTGTGGTGGAAAGTGACTAGATCCTATAGTCAGTCAATAAAGAGCTCAAACAGTTAAGTGACCAACACTTATTAAATGCCTACTGTGTGCTAGACACTATGCTCGTTGCTAGGTGTACAAAATCAAAATTGAAATTGTCCCTGCCCTTCAAGAGCTTGCATTCTAGTCAGAATATGTGAGGTTAAAAATCCCAGCTCCAATCATTACTCATCATATACCAATTTACTTCATCTCTGAGAGATTTAGTTTCTTCATCTATAAAATGGGTATAATATTACTTGCACTTCCCAGGGTCACTATGACAAAAACCCTTTGTAAATTGGAATTCATAAAATTCATATTTGGAATTAAGTGGATTCTATTCGATTATGATATGTTATAATATATAATCATATTATGTTATGTTATATTACATTATAAAATTATTGTTCCATAATAATTGTCATGGTATCATCATTAGAATTTACTATGGAATATTATCATTCCATTATGAAATGGGAACATGAACTGTTGCCACACAGAACTGGTAAGCTTCCTTACTATTCAAAATTAAAAAAAAAAAACACTTTCTGATAGTAAGAGAAACATCTTAGTTCAATGGGAAGACCACTGGCTCTGGAGTTAAGGGTCCCCTAACTCACCAAATCCCCACCCCCAGTACTTGCTACTTGTCTGATTTCAGGCAAGTCCTTTCACCTGCCTGGGCCTCAGTTTCCTTCTCTGTAAAATGAGGGCATTAGATTAGGACCCCTGAGGTCCTTTCTAGCTCTCCATCTAAGTTACTGTGAGCTCTGATAGATGAACAGGAAGGAATGCTGAGAAGACAACCATGGATTTGCCGTGGCTGCCAGATGTTTGCATCCCACTCAGAAGGGAATCCTCAGCAATTGCTTAAGAGAGCCCTCTGAGCTGCTCTCCAGAGCACCAGTTCTTTGGGAGGTGGGCAAGGGAATGACAAAGAGGGGATGCCTCTGTCCTTGGCTGGTTTGGGGAGGCGACTTCTTAGAGTCCTTGAGTCTGAGGAATAATGAAAGCAGGTGATATCCTGAGTCAACAAAAAAGCAGTCATGTTTCTTTAAACAGAGCCATCTCATAAAGGCAAGGAAATAACCTGTGTCCTTGCCCCGTGCATCTTGCAACGTTTGAGACTGGAGAGCCAATGGGTGCCTTTTTATAGGAGTTAGCAGAGCCATAACCAGGAAAGGGTGACTGGTTCTTTACCCCAAGGCACCAGTATCAGGAAAGGCAGAAGGCATGTTTCTGTCCTCTGGCTTGGCATCCTTGCCTCCTTGTGATCTTTCACCAGGCAGTCTAGACCATGCATTGTGTCCACTCTACTCTGACCCTGAGCTGCCTCCCACCAAACCCCACAGTCCTATTACTCTGGCTCCCATTTCCCAGGGCCTATCTTCCCCAATCACTGCATCCCCCTGCTTCCTACAGTGGGTCTGGGAGAAAAGCTTTGCCATGAGAGCCTAGGTCAGACTTGCTTGGGGCAGACCGTCCTCTGCACCACCGTGCCATCTCTCAATTGGAATTTGCAGCAGGAGCATGAATTTATCATTACTGCTCTGGGATTTGAACAGATCTTAAAGAAGATATGGTCTGACCCTATCATGTTACAGATGAGGAACATGAGTCCCAGGGAAGGGACATGACTTTCACGATTGATAAGAGATGTCCAATCTCGATAAGGAAAAAAACAATTCCCTTTAAAACTAAGAGATAGCTACTCTTGTGACTCTTAAAGATATAACATGAGCTTCCCAACAGAAGATCATATATTTAGAACTTGTAATGACTTCAAAAGCCAACTCCCCCATTTTACAGATGAGAAACAAGGTCATGCAGGTAAGTGAGCGTCACAGACAGGACTGGAATTCCATCCTCTGGCTCCAGAACCAGGCATCTTTCTGCTGTACCAAGCAGCCTTTCCACTCATATCCCCAGGCCCAGCTTTGCCTCACAAACCCCAGGATTGATGATGTTTATTTCCCAGACATATGGGCTTGTGGGCAGAGCAGTATTAACATCTTCATAGGAGTTTTGTGAGGCAAATTCACCATTTTCATTGGCTGCCTATTAATGTAGATCAATAGACAATTCCATCTGCCCCAGTCTGGGAGTGAGTTACATAACGACAATTATTGGATGTTACAGGCAACAGATGAAGAACTCTGTGTACCGAAGCCGGCAGTCTTTAAACAGCCCCAGTCCGGGAGAAACCGAGATGGATCTTCTTGTGACACGGGAGAGACCCCGACGAGGAATACGGAACAGCGGCTATGACGTAAGCTCCTCTGGTGGCTTGGGTGCTGAAAATAAGCCTTGGTCCAAAATCAGTAGGTACAAGGACTGGGATACCCTTCCATAAGTCTGGAGTTCAATGTATTTCCACAGGCTCCCTAAGGGGAAGCGAGAAGTATTCAGGCTTCATTTCCTTGCTCAGACCACTCTCTTTTTGTGGAGTAAAGGTCCTTGAAAAGTACCTGGCTCAGAAATTATAGCAATAAACCACTTCTAAGAATTCTGGTTTGTAAACTCTGGTCAGTATTCCTTGTCCCACCGATTTGTAATTGAGTGATTTGTGATCTCCTCAGGGTCGGATATCCTTCCACTGGTATAAATCATCAACCCACCACATCTTTTCATCCTATTACAGTTTGCATCCAGTCCTTTCATAGGACTCCCCCATAGATATTCAATCCAGTGCCCTTTCCTTGGATTCTTTTAATATTTCCTCACCGCCGGGACAGCTACACAATAACCATCCACTTCTTCTTCCCCAATCTCAAGACTAGAAGGTACCATATCCTTCCTGTCAAATGTATCCTTGATAAGAACTTTCAACCAGTTCTTCTCTTCAGGTCATCACTGGCATATCCTGCTTAGACCCACCATTCATCTCTCCATGACCCCATGAGAGTCATCTACAACCTGATTCTTTGGAGATTGTGAGATGCCATGATTTACAGTTGTATGGGACAGGGTTTTTTTTTTTTTTTTAAGAATTGTAGGATTGAGTAGTTTGGTATTGTTGAAAGACCTGTATTTTCCAAAACCTTGTGCAGCCTTCTTCTGTTCAGTCAAAAGAGTAGGCAATGAATGAGAAACTGTTGGTTAAGTGAGAGTTACACTTACTTAGATGCTTCAATGGCTTTTGAGACTAGTAATGTGGGAAATCATAGGATTTTGGATCATTGATTTAGAGCCTGAGGCCATTTAGCTCAATACTTTTTTAAATTAATTTTTTTTCTTCAATTAACAAGCATTTTCTCTTCCTCCTACACACACCCCACCCCACCCCACAGGGGAAGGGGGAACTAAGGGGAAATCAAACAAAACCCTTGTAACAAACATGTATACTGAAGCAGATTCCCATATTGTCCAAGTCCGAAAACTATATCTCGTTCTGTATCTTAAGTCGATTATCTCTCTGTTAAGAGATAGGTAGCACGAACCATCATTGGATCCCCCTGGAATGGTGGTTGATCATTGCCGATTAGAGTTCTTCAGACTTTCAAAAGTTGTTGATTTTTACAATATTATTATTGTATAAATTGCTCACCTGGTCTAGCTCACTTCACTCTGCATCAGTTCATACATGTCTTCCTGAAGGTTTCTCCAAAGCAGTCCCCGTCATCATTGCTTATAGGAAAATAATACTCCATTTCATTCATATACCATAATTTGTCAATCATTTTCATTTGATGGGTACCCTGTTAGTTTCTGGTTCTTTGTCACTACAAAAAGATCTGTATGAATATTTTTGTGCGTATTTGAATCCTTTTCTTCTTTCTTTGATCTTTTTGGGCATCAGCCTGCTGGTGGTATCAGTGGGCCAAAAGTGACTTTGGGGACATAGTTCCAAATTGTATTCCAGAAGGGCTGCCCCAAGTCACAACTCTACCAACAATGCGTTGAGTCTAATCCACTTTTATATATGGGGAAACTGAAGCCTGTGGATTTAAACAACTTATCCATATAGATTGTAACAGCACAAAGTACATTTTTATGCCTACCTATCCTCGGTGATTCCCATCTGTATCCTCCCACAAATCTGCCACAAGGAGTCCAACAACATCCTGGGAACCTTCCTCTCTGGACATTGCATGGATAATGATGGAGCCCTTGGGACAGCCATCAGGTATCCCTCACTCTCCCTGTCTCTTTTTCCATTTGTGCATTTCTTTGATGAAATCTCTTCACAGCTCCTCCTTCCCACACAAATCCCTGTTCATGATGTGTCAGAGCCTCCTCACACCCACCCTGCATCTCTTGACTGTCAACTTTACTTCTTCAGAAACTGTCACATTCTACGATCCACAGTCAGAGCTCAGCACCAGAGGCGTTGCACTAGTGACCTTTAAATTCAATAGTAGACTTATAAGCAATTTGAATTCTTTTGCCTGTTCTTGGAAACTCAAGAGACGAACCATTGCCAAAGCAAGATAATTCGTCTGAGTTTGGGTGTCTTTTACTAACCCGCCGTGAAATTTGGAGTTTGAATATGTACCCAACCAATGAATTCCTTGACCTGAAGGACCAAACACATATTCTACTGAGTGACTTGGCAATGTGATTAAAAAAAAAAAAAAACAACCACCACCACCCAGGGACATTTAGGGAAGTCTTTCAATGGAAGACTGTTTTCTCAGAAGCTCAGAATTTCCCTGGTGATCTGTTGCATTTTGACACTTTCCTTTAGGCATTGCCAGTCAAGCCATATTCTGCCAAGGTGCAGATCTTAGTTGAATGATCCCACCTTTTGATGAGGTGCTGGCCAGTGTGTCTCCTTGCTCCAGAATATCAAACAATATAAACAAACACTTGGATTTCATCCAAGATGGCAAACCCCTCCAGTATCTTTGCCAAGAAAAACCCAAATGGGGTCACAGAGTTGGACGCGACTGGAAACGGCTGAACAGCAACAACATTGCCTTTCTTACCCTCAAAGGAAGTTCCCCTGATTCCTTCCTTCAGCAAACGTGGGTAGGATGTAAGCTTCTGAAAGTTAGGATCTGTTTTTGTTTTTGCACGATGCCTACTACATAATAGGTGCTTAATAAATTGATTGATTAATTAGGTGTTTACTCTTTGCAAGAACACTCTGCTAGGCTAAATGAGATGTAAAAAAAGTCCTTCATGGAATTTGCTACTTGAGACAAATGCTAATAATTATCTCACATTGCATTAAGTAGGTGCAAAACAAATATTGTGTGAGGTCCAAAGGGGAAAGATCATTAGGAATTTGAAAGACAAGGCTCGAGGAAGGCTTTTGGGAAATGAGTGTCATTCGGATTGGGCTTTAAAGGGTGGGGAAGGCTATTCAAGCAGTGAAGAATGGAAAGAAGGAAGAAAACATTAAGTGCCTACTATGTGCCAGGCATTCTGCTAATAGCTTTACAAATATCTCAGGCGATTATTCACAATGACCCCGTCCAGTGTGTCTCTTTGCTCCTGAATATCAAACATCCATACACACACATATGTATACACATGTGCACAAACACACTTGCATTTCACCAAAGATATGCCTAGATGGTACAGTGGATAGAGTGCCAGGCCTGGAGTCAATCAGACCTGAGTTCAAATCGGGCCTCAGACACTTACTAACTGTGTGACTCTATGCAAGTAACTTAATCCCGTTTACTTGACTTTCCTTGTCTATAAAATGAGCTGGAGAAGGAAATGGCACTCCCTCCAATGTCTTTGCCAAGAAAGCTCCACATGGGATCACAAAGAGTCAGAAATGACTGAAATAGCTGAATGATATGCTTCTCTTCCCCTTACAGGAAGTTCCTCCATTTCCTCAGCACACATTGGTGGAATGGGAGGTAGGTACTATTATCATCCCCATTTTACGCATGAGAAAACTGAGGTAAACAGGTGAAGTGACTTGTATGAACATCCCATAAATGTCGGAAGCCAGATTTGAACTCGGGTCTTCTTGGCTCTAGATGAAGGATGATTATTCCAGGAAGAAGGAACTGTAGTCCTCTGATCTGAACTAAAGTTAGGGCTGGGATCTGAACATTCCCAAGTTGACACAGCCAGCTGGCAGGAGAGCTAGAATGATCAATCAGTCCACCAAGAAATATTTATGAATTGTCTCCTACTTACCATGCACCGTGGAGAGTGTATCTGAAAGTCAGAGAGAATCCGATTTTGGCTGGAGCATCAAGTGTGTGAGGGGAAAGTAATAGGAGATAAAGACAGAAAGATAGATTGGTGCCACATCATGGAGTGCCTTGAATACCCATCAAAGGAGTCTATGTGGCAGCAGTATGTAGAGCTGGAAAGGAACCCTTTCCTTCATTTTATGAGGAAACTTGTATTCCCCAATGGATCACAAGCCTCTTGAAAACGGTATATGTCTTTGAATCCCCAGCCCCCAGAACAATGCCTTATAAATAGTGGGTGGTTAATAAATGCTTGTTGAGTTGACTTGGAGTGAAGCTTAGGGAGATGTTTAAGCAGAGGAACAACATGTACGACTAGCTCTGTGCATATGGGAGGTTAGCCTGGTAGTAAAGGTTGGATTGAAGGAGGCCCAAAGTGGAAACATGAAGAGATGTTAAGAGGCAATTGAGGGAATCCAGAAAGGGGGTAGTGAGGGTAGGGTGGCAGATAGAAGAGGGAGCAAGGGATAGAGGGGAGAGATGGAAAGTTGGAGATGACAGAACTTGGTAATGAACCAATTAGCTGGGAGAGGTAAGCGAAGGGAAGGGTCAAAGGTTTCAAACATGGGAGATTGGAAGAACCACGCTGTCCTTGCCTGAAATAGGGACATTAGAAAGAGGAGTAGGGTTGGGTGAAAAGCAGATGAGCTCTGACAATGGAAAGACCTGATGCAGCAATATTTGCAGCCCAAGTCCATCCAGGTAAATCTAAATACTTCAAGAGTTGTTTATTATAATGATTAATTTCTCATTAATGAAAATAGATGATAGGTCATGTCTGATGAGCCTTGGGTTGGGAGTTGATTTAACCATGTTCTAACCCCAACTCTAAAAGTAATGGGTTGTATGACCTTGGACTAGTTCTTTCACCTGCCTCACCTGTGACTCAGTTTTGTCATCTGTAAAAAGGGGTGGGGTAGGACTAGACGATGTTAGGACAGTATACTATAGTACTGAGGTCATAAAGACCTGGCTTCAAATCCTACCTCTGACATTTGTTAGATTTGTGACCATGGGCATAAAGTCACTTTATCTCTAAGCCTCAGTTTCTTCATCTGTAAAATGAGGGGGTTGGACCAGATTTTCTCTCAGGCGCCCACCAACATTA